GGACGTAAGCCAAACTGTGTCTGAATCACGCCGAGTGGCGGTGACAGCTGATTCAATTTACCGTAATGGATGGATCTGCCCTTCATGGCATTCTTGGTGCTTTCTAAGTTCTCATTTCTTAATATCTTGGGTTGACTTTCTTCCAGTTTCCATTTTATTAGTAAGCATGCTTTTTCCTTCACTCCTTAATACCATTTCTTCACCAACCATCTGCTTATTTGAGCTGCTGCTCATTCCTCACGGCTGACCTCACTGTGCCTTCATGTCACCATATGCCAGGAGCTTGGTGACTCAAGACATGAGATTTCACGTCCTCCAAGCAGCAAGTCACACAAGCCCGCAAGGCCAGCCGTCTATGTTTATGCAGCAAATCTCCTTGGTCACTGTCCATGGATGAATGAGATTCTCCTGCACTGCACGTCTCCTCTGAAATACATCCTATCACCTAAAAATGCTGTTCTTCTACTTTGAGTGACTTTGCAGACTTAAAAACTCCAATGTAGGCTTCCCATTTACTTTCCTTATTGACATTTTACCATTCAGTGCTTCATGTCATTAATAAATACTCTGTGCCTGCGTGGCTGTGACGGTTTGCCATTCGACTCTTGATTTGGACGTAGGTCATGGTCTCAGGGTCATGGGATAGAGTCCCGCGTGGAGCTTTGCATTCAGTGGGGAGTTTCCTTGGGATTCTCTCTCTCCCTCTCCCTCTGCCCCACTTCCTCCTCTCTCTCTTTCTAGAAAAAATAAATAAATCTTAAAAAAAAATACTCTGTTTTATACTACTAGATCAGGGTTTCTCAGCCTTGTCACTCTTGACATTTTGAACTGAGTAAGTCTTAGTTGTGGGGGCTGTCCTGTGCATTGTAGGGTTTTATCAGCATTCCTTTACCCAGTAGATGCCAGTAGTACCCCTTCCCCCAGCTGTGACAGTCCACAATGTCTCAACATTGTCAGTTGTCCCCTTGGATGATAAAATCCTTTCCTGGAGAATCACTGTATTATACTGGCTTTTAGGGATGTATCACCAAAGATATAAACAAAACAAGACTACAGGATTACCTGAGGGGTGCATTGGCATGTCAAGGACAGAGCTCCTTTAAAACGTAGGTAATGGAAAAAATAAGTGAAAGGTAGGTCATGGGGACATTCCTGAACCAAGCTTTCTGAGATCTGGATGAGAAGTTATGAACAGAGAGAATTCTAGAGGGCTGTGAGTGGAGGTGCTCAAGGACCCTACGATGCCAAATTCACTTAGTGCTTACCGTGATTACTCCTTCATCTGCTCAGGCTGCCATAACAAAGCAGCACAGACTGGGAGGTTTAAACAACAGACATTTATTTCTCCCAGGTCTGGAGGCTGGAAGGCCAAGATGAAGGTGCTCACAGATTTGGTGTCTATGGAGAGCTGTCTTCCTGTTTTACAGATGACCTTGTCTTGCTGTGCCCTTACAAGATGGAAATTGAGAAAGCTCTGGTCCCTTCACTTCAAATTTTAGGATACATGTATCTCATATTTACATTTAAAATGGCGTATGTCTACTTTGCTGAAAAAGTTGCATATCCCATGACTTCTCATGGATCCTCACTCTAGAAGAAGCTTAGCACTAGAAATTTGCATGTGTGGAATTTTTACCAGCTAAGTCAGATCCTGATGTCACCTGCACCCTGTGGTCCCATTGATGTTGATTTTCCAGGCAATGTAGTGTTGGGCATGCTAACACTCTCTTCGAGAAGACTTCTGGTCTTTTTATGGGTGGTGAAAATCTATTTTTCATGGACAGTTGATAATTCTTTCCCTATTAACTCAACAAAAGTTGGAAATAATGTACCCAGATAAAGGCCAGATACATTGACTGGCTTTGAAATAACTCTTCGTCTCCAGTATTGACATACCAGGGTAGCATCCATGTTCTGAACTAACAGAGACTTCCCCTTTGAACTCCATTTCTAGGTGCCATCAAAGATTACCCGTATTCACATCAGTTTTCCTTTTATTTCCTTCAAGTTCTCTCTGTAGCCATTAAGAAAGGACCGTAGTGAAAGGTATTTAAGAGCTACATAGATCACATGTCAGAGCCGAAGAAAATTGTCTACTGATTCAACTAATTATCCTATTTTATTGGGCAGAAGTTAGGAAAGGAGAATAAGATGAAACCCAGCAAATGACACACAGCACTTCTTGCTGCTCTTCCAGTCAGCCCTCACGTTCTGCGATGAGCGTGCAAATACCGCTTCTGCCCGACTCCTGCAGTTAAGGGAGCTCACCCTGCAGGAGACGGAAATGTCATCCCTGTTGAGTTCTAAGTGCATAGTCTGATTTTTCTGAATATTATCACATCTTTATATGAAAGCCATAGCTTTAAAGTCTTGAGATGATAATATAAACAATGGAAAAAAAACCCACATGAAATAATTTCCCATTTCCAGGGCGCCTGGGTGGCTGAGTCGGTTATGCATCTGCCTTCAGCTCAGGTCGTGATCTCAGGGTCCTGGGATGGAGCCTCGCATGGGGCTCCCAGCTCAGCGGGGAGTCTGTTTCTCCCTCTGCCCCTCCCCCTGCTCGTGCGCACATGCGCACGCACTCTCGCTCACTCTCTCTCTCTCAAATAAATAAGTGTAAAATCTTAAGGAAAAAAAAAAGAAAGAATTTACCATCTCCTGTTGTGCCAGCAGAAAGATTCAACACCCAAGCTGGTTTCCCTGGCCAAGCCAGTGTTGCCTTGCTTTATCCAGGGTAGTGAGCCCAGCTCCACACATGAGCAGGGAGCCACATGACAACACCGTTCATATCCCATTCTGTTATTTTCTGTATCTAAAAGAGACCCGCTGGTTTCATGCTTGCGCAGGTGCAAAGGCATTTCAGAATGGTTTGAAGTGGCTTGGGCTCAAAGAACAAGCAGATTCCTCCACCTTGAGTGTCCTTGTTACAGAGTTAAAATTGAGGGACACTCTCATAGAAAATGACCTTTCGTGGGATGTCCAACCTCCATCCATAGGATATTCATCTCTGAGCTTTGGCCTTAAGTTGTATCATAAATTAGAAAAAGAAGACGTGAGTTTTTAGTTTTTCTCATGGAAAATAATGAATATAATGAATATATAATATATATATATAATGAATATATATAATATATATAATGAATAATGAAAATAATGACTTGTGATAGTTAAATAACTTTACATTTTCATCATCAACTCTTCCATTTTTATGTTACAAAGATATGAAATAAACTATAGTCCAGTAAAATTTTCAGAACCAAGAAACACAGATTTTGAAATATAGCTGTGATTTTTGTATTTATACACAAACACACTCATGCACGTGTATGTACCTACACGAATACCTGTAGGAAAGTTTAGTATATGTCATTTAGACTATATCTTAAGTAACCATTAATAAATACAAATAAGCAGTTAAATAACTTGATGCTCACGCCCTGAAATTATTAAGGATTATTTTGTGTTACTATGATTTTTCTCAGCAGTGAATGTTGGAGTATTTTTTCTGAACATATAGTTTACTTCATTTCTACCCTCATTATATTTGTTGGCTCCATTTTTCCCAAAAGACAAAGACTATATGTGATCAAAGATCAGACTCACTATTTTTTTAAAGATTTTATTAATTTATTTGACAGAGAGAGACATAGTGAGAGAGGGAACACAAGCAAGGGAGTGGGAGAGGGAGAAGCAGGCTTGTCACCAAGCAGGGAGCCCCATGCGGGGCTCTGTCTGGGGACCCTGGGATCACGACCTGAGCCAAAGGCAGATGCTTAACAACTGAGCCACCCAGGTGCCCCAAGAATCACTATTTTTAAGTAGATCAGAATCACAACATTTTATTTTATTTTTGTAAAGATTTTATTTATTTATTTGACACAGAAAGAGAGAGATCACAAGTAGGCAGAGAGGCAGGCAGAGAAAGAGGGGGAAGCAGGCTCCCCGCTGAGCAGAGAGCCCGATGCGGGGCTCGATCCCAGGACCCTGAGATCATGACCTGAGCCGAAGGCAGAGGCTTAACCCACTGAGCCACCCAGGCGCCCCCAGAATCACAACATTTAAAAAAATAAAAGTGTAACAAAATTTGAAATGTAGAAAAAACGAAAGACATAACCATTTTGTTAAGAAGATTTTCTGGTCATACATGCTTCCGTGGTGCATTTTACGTGGTATAAAGCCCACACCCCTCACTACTCTGCATCCTGCTTTATTCATTTCACTTTTTATCATAAGTATTTGTCCGCGTTGCTACAGCATAGTCTTCATAACTATCGTTTTAATGGTTTACTGATGCTCCCTTGCTCAATAAGCGATAGTTTTTAAATTATTGGCATTAATTTTTAATTCACGTTCTCCTATTATTCATTAGATCCAATTCAGAGCAAACCGAACTATTAGAACTGCTGTAAGATCTAATTTGTATTCAGCTAGGTCAATGCATCTAATAAACCATAGCAATTTTCTCTTCTGTGTCCATTCTGACAACCGTTTGATGCCTGTAATGCAATGAGAGAATTCAAAAGCAAACAAATAGGTATTTTATAAGTTATATAAGAATTTACCAGTTGGTATTTAGGCTTAAGAAGTGAGGGTGTTTGATTATTAATGTGTACCGTGTTATGCTAGTAGTATGCTAACTGTAAGATACGTTGCCTTGTTCTTTAACGCTCTCCATTCTGCCCACCCAAATTAACATATTTCTTCTTCCTTTTATAGAAATGTGCTGGCACCATTCTTAGATAACTTATGCATTTATTCTACTGTCAATTACAGTTACTTATGTACACGCTCTACCACATTCCACGTTCCATCATAGGCTCTGGGTGGGCAGGCGTGGATGTCCTGTTTTGGGTCTAGTAAGGCTTTACCCTATCTGCCATAGATGTTCACCAAATGTTATGACACCCTGCTTTTGTTTTTGTCTACATTTACAGAAGACAAAGTTGGGAAGTGTAACGATGTTAAAGGTGTTTACTCTCTTATTTTTCTTCCACCAGTGGGATGGAGTAGGACCTCTTCCAGACTGTGCAGAACCACCAAAAGGGATCCAGATGCTGTGGCACCCATCAATAGTCAAACCCTACCTCACACTGCTCTCTGAGTGCTCAAACGCAGACACGCTGGAAGGGGCAGCAGGCGCCCTGCAGAACTTGGCTGCAGGGAGCTGGAAGGTATGACTAGTTCATTACCATAAAGAAGAGATCTGGAGTTATGAGCACGTCCTTAGAAAGGATTAGATGTCCAGTTCTGAGATGTGCAATTCCAATACAGGCTTTGAGAATGTTAGGGAAAGACCAGTTACGTTGGACTCTTGGACATAGAAAGGTATCCCTTTTAAAAATTCTCAAGGGCTCAGGGGTCCTTGAAAATCACTACAAAATATAGATGGATAGATGTAAGTATAGTCATTGAAAATGCTGTGATATGCTTTCCATTCTAGGCATGTAACTGAGCTCTTTTGTTTTCAGGGGAGATTGTGACATGTTGATGCTTTTCAAAGCTCTATTGTTGACTGTTAGGGGAGCTAATACCCAAGCATTTTGTATCAAAACCCATGTGAATCCCTATAATGTTGTAGTTGGTCCTGTCCTCAAAGGAAAAGAACCCAAATGTACAATGGGGAAGGAGATTAGGAGGGCCTTTTTCTCTGAATTCTTATAAACACAGGCTATCCCTGATTGGTTTTAACAGAAAATTTCCATGACCTTCATTTTGGGTAGAAAAGGATTCACCCTAGCAAAGAATTCTTGAGTTTGGTCACTCGCCATTACATGAGCTAACTTGTTTTACCACATAAAAAAGTGTAACCATCTAGAATTAGGGCATATGAGGAAAATATCAAGAAAGGAAATTATCAAAGGGCCCCTGCCATCCATTTTTCACTCATTTAATTCAAAGCCTGGGGTTTAAGATATACATAAATCACTATCTAGAGTTCACTTTCTTCAAAACAATGTTAATAAGACACATGGCTGCGGAGAATTCTCAGCCTAGGACCATAGGCACCGCACATACTGCCCTCAGCATTGTCACGCAATTGTATCCTCCCTTCTTGTTAGAGCTTCCAACATCTGCCTTCATGTAGCCTCTCACTTATCATTCTGTTTCCACTGCTATGGTCTCAGCTACAGAACTGCCTTCTTTCTCACCTGGGACATCACAGCTCTTGGGGGCCAGCCCTTAACAACCCTTCCCAGGAGCTGGCTGCTGATGTATGTGTGGACCCATTCCTTCTTTTGAGAGTCTTAGGAATGAATGTCATTGTCCCTTTCCTGTCTGCCCATAGGTGTCCCTGATGTTGTCCTGAAAGAATTCAGGTTGGGTTAGCCTTGAAGGGAAGGTATCTCTTGCTCTCAATTGGAGAAAAGCTTCAAAAGGAGAATCACATCAGGCAGAATTCCAGAATAGGGCCTTGCAAGACAAGGAGAAAGATAATAATGGAAATCACTTCCTTGAACTAACCCTTAGATCTTCTCTCCCTCTAAATTTAAGAGGCTTTGATGCAAATCACAATTCAAACCTAGTCTCTGCCTTTTCCGATCCCTGTGACCCTGAGCAAATTATAGCACTTCATTGTCTCAGATGGGTCCTCTTTAGACAGAAAAGACTGTGGCCGCCTCTTGTCACAGCTTGCAGATCAGTCATGGCACTAGATGCAAAGATGGAAGCAGGATGCCATAGGCCATTGGATTGTCATTAAGTTGGGCCAAGAGTTTTATCAACCTTACTCTATAAGAAGCATTCACCATCCTAATAACCCTAGAAAAGTGAGATAGTCCTCAGGCAGGGCAAGGGGTTGTTAAAGAATATTTGTGTATAGTTACATATATGTGTGTGTGTATGTATATATAAGTTATATGTATATTTTTTTATTTACATAAGAGTTTTCTTATCAAAACACAATACACAAGCATGAGTAATAGTCACATTATCGTCATTTATTGTATACGTTATTAACATGCCATGTTAAATGGTAAGGAAATATATGAAAAGGGAAGATAGATAATCCATAGGGATGATTTAAGAAGGTTATCATTAAGCCAAATCATTATAATTTTTTTAAAAAATTGTTTATAAATTGATAAATGGTTATAATTTTTTAAAGACTGAAAATAACTTGTACAAAAACCAAACAGAGAAATCCTTCCTTTAAAAAAAAATTTTTATTTAAGAAAAAATCTTGAATGATTGAAAGATAGATTTGGGCACAAAACAGCACCAAGTTTCATGTGGACAGTGCTATCATTTGAAATCTAGAGTACTAAGAATGTATTTTTATAGCGACTGTTGAAATTTAGTGGCTTTTTTTTGTGTGTGTGTGTCCTTAACTTTTTATGACCCAAACAGAAGGGAAGGTAAGGTAAAAGACCGGAATTTTACATGGAAGCAGCTTTTTATAGACCTCATCATCTGAAACAATAACTTTTCTTTATAGGAAGGTCATGCAAACTCTTCTTGCAACAAACTGACTAGTAAACTAGATCTTCATAATGGTCTTAAATACTTTTTAAACTTTAAGAGACTCATTACTTGGTTTATGAGCATCAGAAAAACATAATGGTATTATGGCAGAAGCAAAGTAATGTATTTTTTTCATGGCCAACGTGGACTTCAGTTACTTTTTTCCCCCATGTACAGTACAATTATTTTGTTTGTCACAGAATCTTAAAACGATTGGATATAGTAGTTTGAAGATTTCCAAAATGTGAGTGAATGCTCTTTCAAAAACCACTTATGGGTTATTTCTGTTGTAATTCAACTTAGTGAAAACTTAGGGTTTGAACTATAGAAATATATCTGTATTTATTATCAAGTCAGATATATTAGGTATCTTTGTACAGTCCAATATCCGCTAAAATGTGACCAGTTTCAAAGGACCTATTCTTGTGCCCATTTACTTTTGAAATAAGATAGAATAAAGGGACATTTGGATATTAAGCTGTTAATATTTAATGAGGTAACATGATAGCAACATAGATGTAGTGTAGAAGGAAACAGAATCTCTGGCCATGTGGCCAATATGAATAAAAAATAAGGGAACTGGGAAATTTGAGACTAGAGTCAGGGCAACAGCCTTGAGAAGGACAATGAATTTAGTGTAGCTTAGCAGTTGGAGTATCCCATAGATGTGAACCACAGGGTATCAGTGGAATGCAACAAATAAAAGTAGAAATCATAGTTTGACAGTTGTCTTTGTTTTAGCTAATGGTGTGATGTAAAACATAAGGTTTAAATAAAAAGAAACAAGTTTTAAAAGAGTATGGTGAAAACGAGTCCTGAAGCATGATCCCTAATGTGTTAGGAATTGGGTCAGAATAAACACAGAGGTTATCTGAGGACCCCGCCCAATCAGCAGGCTTCTAGAGACAACACACCAAGTTGGACATGATGACCAACCTGAAGCAGGACATGGATGGGCCAAACCTAAGAAAGAAGAAATGGAGAGAATCCAGGTCATAACCAAGTCATTGACCCTAATCACACATGACTTAGTGATGTCTTCCCCACAAGACCCCAGTAAGTAGTCCTGATAGCAAGGACTGCACTTTTACCATAAATGCCATATGCGTCCAAACTGACTACAGAATAAACCTGGTTTGTGGCATTACTTTCATCATTGTCATCGAATAATCTGATTTCCAAAGCTGTGAGTTCTAGAACTCCATTCTGAAGCTGTAGAAATAGCTACACCTGAGGGACTCCTACTTCTAGCAAGATGCCAAGATGGAGGAACAAGGTCCAGATTTTCCTCCCTTTATGGCAGAATAATAACAATAAAATAACCTAGGGAAATATAACCATGGTTTTTAAGACACCAAGCATGAGTCAGTAAAGGACAATTGTCTCTGATCATTGGAAACAATTATCCTCAGCAAGGATGAGCCCTCTGATTGCCCCAGCTCACTACCTTGAGCCAGTTTGCCCACCATGGCACCAGGACTGGAAACCCCAGAGGAGTTTGGCAGACTCTGAGCTAAGGAGATTGGGCTGGGAAGCTGGGGAGATGAAGGTGACTGGAGTTCATATGACAGAATACCAGAGATGAGAAAACCACACACAGAGAGAAGCCTAGAGATCTGCAGAGTATCCCCCTCAAATATTCTGCAGGGAACTCTTGGATGCATGCATGTGAGGGAAACACCACCTCTTGGATGCATGCATGTGAGGGAAATGCCCACGCCTGAAGAAAGAGCCTCCTGCAGTTAGAGAGAATGAAACTTGGCATTCATGTAGGGATGGGTATAGTGTGCCTTCCTGAGAACCAGATAGGGAATCCTCGTAATTCATGGGCCCCTGGGTAGAGTGCTCAGGAGGGTCTTGTCTCCCAGTACTGAGCATATAATTAGCCTTGGACTAAATATGATCCAGTCTTTTCTATCAAATCTTAGAAGTAGGATCCAAAAATAGCAATCGTTTCCAAGTAAATTAACCAAAGCTTAAAAATGTCTAAAGGAATACAAAAAATATGCAGCACCCAACAGATTAAAATTAAGAATGTCTGGCATCTACTTGAAAATAACCTCAGAAGCCAATAGAGAAGATAATGTAATTCATAATGAGGAGAAAAATTAATCATTTTGGAATCAACTCAGAACTGACACAGATATTAACATTAGCAGAGAAGCAGTTGCTGTAACTGTATTTCTTATGCTCAAAAAGTTAATTAGAACATGGAAAATAAGTAAGAATCAAATAAAACTTCTGGAGTTATAAATACAATGTCTGAAATGAAAAACACATGGGATAAGATTAGTGGCAGGTTAGACATTGCAGAAGAAAAGATTAATGAACTCAATAGAAACTGCCCAAAACAAAACACAGAAAAAAAAGAAGAAACCTCAAATCATCAGTGACCTCAACTGATCACGTCAGGTGGCCTGATATATGTGTAATTGAAATCCCCAAAAGAAAGGAGAGAGAAAGGAGAAAGAGAACAGAAAAAAATATTTGGAGTATTAATAGTTGAAAAATTCCCAAATGTAATGAAAACCTTAAACTCACAGATCCAAGCAGGGCAGCTCAAGGAAACCCAAGTGGAAGAAGCATGAAGAAGCTTCTCTAAGGTATATCTTAGTCAAAGTGCTCAAAATCAGTAGTAAAGGGAGCATCCTAAAATCAGCCAGAGAATAATATTGTATGTCAAGTGTACTAAGAAACATTGTGTGTGTGT